ACTCCTTACAGCATCCGATGCTGTAATGAGATTTTAGTAACATTTTATGGAACCAGTTCAAGTTGGTGACATTGGGTCATTAATTTTTCTAGTTGTCAATGTGACAATTTTTGTCTATGGATGTTTAAACACGTTCTTAGCATCGAACACAAGGTCCACAATGATGAGGACATTGACTCTGAGCAATTTCTCGTATTTTGGGAGGTGTACATCAAACATTTTTTTTCAGGTGAATATATTTTGTGTTTTGACAGTTTCTAGTTGGCAATTCAAAGTTTCTATTTTCTAGTGTTCCGGTGTTACCAACTGCTACATACCTATTTCCCTACATTGCCAAAATTTACTTTATTTTTGTTAAAAAAAAGTATAAAAACGCGAATTACAAAAAAATATCATAAAAAACACGTTTCATAAGACTTAAAGCACTCATTCATTAAAACACTCGTTTTTCAACTTGAATTCGTGCATTTCAAACGTGTCTTACGAAACTTGTTTTTTAATAAACTATTTCAGATAACTTAATAAATTACAATAATTGCACATGTGAGCTATACCAAAACGCAAATAATTTGCAATTTAACCGTTATGTTAAAGAGAAATTAGCTAATGAATTTGATGTTGTTTATGAACTCCAGTAGTAACCCCACTATTTCAACACAAACAATTTCTCAGCGAACTGCTGAAGTTGTTGTCTCCAAAAATAAAGCATATAGTTGGTTATCACGCGACATACAACCCAAAAGTAATAATTGGAATGATATGGAAGGAGCGACGTTTGAACAGACTCCCTTGTATTATTTGGAATGTCTATTTGATAATAACATTATAAGCATGTTTGCAAAACACACGAACATATACGCTACAGAAAAAACAAAGTAGGAAATGTGACCAATGAGGAAATGCAGTGTTTCTTCAGAATTTTGATGTTCAGTGGTTCTATGTTATTGTACCTAGGAGACAAATGTATTGGGAGAATGCCACTGACTGTGGTATGCCTATTGATTTAAACGCCTTGTCTAGAGATCGCTTCACCTTTATCATGTTGTGATCTAATCTCCACTGTTGTGATAACTCTAATTTGAAACCAAATAATAAATTTGTCAAAATTCGGCCATTGATAGATGCGTTGAATATAAATTTGTTAAATTTTGCAGCTTTTGAAGAAAATCATGGTATGGTGTCTTACTATGGGGGACACCCATGTAAACAATTTATACGTGGCAAGCCCATCCGATGGGGCTACAAATTTTGGGTGGGAGCAACTCGACTGTGTCAACAAGGGCAATCTTTAGAAAATTTGAGCCAGTACAGAAAACTTGGATTAGGAGCAAGTATAATCCTTCAATATCCTGGTCTTCTTCGGAAAATTAACAACCAGGCAACCTTCCTCTTATTTTTTGACAAATTTTTTTACCTCGGTACCGTTGATTGATGACCAAGGAAAAGGAGGATTCAAAGCGACTGGAACGATAAGGAAAAATTGTGCATCCAAATGTCCTTTGTCAACAAACAAAGACATACAAAAGTTGCACCGAGGTTCCTAAAAATTCCAATCTACAAGAGCTGAAGAAATCATAATTTGCAAGTGACATGATAATAGTGTTGTCACAGTGGCATCAAACGTCGCAAAAGTAAATCCTGTGCACAAAATAAAAAGGTTTTCGTAAAAAGAAAAGAAATACGTTTTTGTTAATCAACCCGTTCTTATTAACTGTTGATATCCATGTAACGCAAAACGCAATTAAAGTCTACAATAACAATATGGGAGGAGTTCATATTTTGATCAGAATATACAGGACTTAATTTAGAGGCAAGAACTGCTATTTTTCACTTATTGCTCACTGCCTGGACATGGCGCTTCACAATGCTTGGCAACTATACAAAGCTAACAATGGTGAATATATTATGATCATCTATAGTTCCGCCGGAGTGTAGCGACAAGTATGTTGGAGACTTTTAAGAAGGCAGATCAACGAAAACCTGGGCGTACAGCGAAAGCTTTTCACTAGAATTCGTGTTTTGATGGTATAGGCCACGTATTAAAATATCGAGCTTTTTGTCAAAAACATGTCAATTTTGTAAAAAATATTAACATTAAGGCAAGTATTAACTATGATCCCAAAAAAAATTTCAATCAGACATAAAAATATTTTTCAGTAATATCTGGGTTAAGTATACTAAAAGTAACCTAAAAATGGTCATCATATAGTGACTCAGTGATTAACATAATATCAACCTGAAACTGTGCATAATTTTGGGGCGCCTTGGTTTAATTAAGTAGACTGCTTATAGATCTTCTGAATAATTAAACCGAAATCGATTGCGGCGTAGACTCACTGATTAAGATTATATCAACCTGAAACTATGCATCATTTTGTGGCGCCTCGCTCGCCAGCGGTCTCGGCTTTGTCAGATAATCAATTCACTAATTTAACCGAGGTAGCTTGAGGCCGAGGCTCAGTGATTAAGACTATATGAACCTAAAACTGGTTATGATATTATAACGCGACAGCCGCGAATCGCCTCGGCCTTATTGACTAGACTTATAAATTTTCTTCTTCTCACTTTAGAGATTAACCATGATTTATTTCCATTTCTCCTCTTTCATCCTTTTCTCACTTCCGTTCCTATGGGTTGTTATCCCTTATGCTAGCGTTTATGTGGTCTCCTGGAAGTCGCCTGGTGTCTGGTTTTGGAGCTTGGATTTTCTTTACCAATCTTTCCTCACCAATAAGTACAACATGATCTCTCTAGTATTTTTTCCTAGATCTTGTCCATCTGACCACATCTTGCACCTTCTTACTCTGTCACGCAGGCTTAAGCTTGCAATAGTTATTAGTGTTCTCATCTCTATAACTCCAATAACTTGTTTGGTTGTTGATGTTTCGGCTCTTGTCTCGACTGCGTATCTTAGCAGTGGTTTTACACATGTTTTATAGATTCTTACTTTTTACCGTCCTGTGTTTGTTCCGCCATATGATGTCCCAGAGGTGTCCCAGCATGGTGTCCCAACCAGACATTACTGCGGCTTTGGTTGCGTGTGATTTCACTTCATGTCTGATATTGTTATTGCTTGATATATAGACTCCAAGATATTTAACCTGCATAGGATCGACTTTCCATCAACCTCCTAATTGTTCTGCGTTGTTTTCAGTTTGAACAGCAAACTTACATAGATTAGGATGTTAGGACTACATCGTCAGCGTAGCCCATTTTGTAACTTATATTAGTGTACTTGACGCTGCTTATGACGCTTCAGACTATCGCCCTGTCTAATACCGGTTGATACGGGGATTTCCTCTATTAGTTCATCGCGGGTTTTGATTCTTGTTCAGTTTTCCGTATTCAATTCCTTTGTTAAGTGTGTTACCATATTTTATCATATCCTTTGGTGAAGTCGACGAAGCAGACGTTAGAGGGGCTTATTGAACTCTATGGATTTCTGTTAATTGACGTAGCATGAATATTGCGTCTATAGTGGACTTGTTGGATCGGAATCCTTCCTGTTCTTATCTTATTCCGGTTTGTATTGTTATTTTCTGGTCATTTCCTTTATAAGTCCTTGCCCGCTGTATTTAGTCATCTCGTTAGCAATTTCATCGACACCTGGTGATTTGCAGTTTTTTAGTTACAAGATAGTTACAAATACACAAGAAAGTCCTAAAGGTAAAGAGGAAAAGTATTGCACAGAATGCTTTGATAACTACAAAAATACGATATCAAAATCTGACTGGATTAATTATTTATTATGCCAAAAGTCTGCTCGAAATCTGTACACTTTTCAGAAGCTATTGCTCAAGAAGTGGAAAATTGAAATCACTTTTCAGCTCAACCTACATTAAGTAGGATAGATCTTTATATTAAATGTGTTGATTTTTTTTCGAAAGTTTGGGGAACACTGGCATAAACAAACAAAAAAAAAACAGTGATAACAATTTTAATTTAAATTATCTCCTCATTTTATATTTAGCAAACACAGATAACAATTCCCCTTTTAATTAAAAGAACAAATTCCACAATCACATTATACTAAAACAATTTCAAAATGAAGATTTATTTAAATATATTTGGAATACTATTTTTTACATCAATAAATTGCGATGTCCCAATTCTAAATACTCGTTTAGGAAAAATTCAGGGAATTTACGAATCTTCTTATGAAAATCGAATTTATTCTGCGTTTTATGGAGTTCCTTACGCAAAACCTCCTATAAATAATCTTAGATTTGAAGTAAGTCAAATTTAAATTTTTTAAGAAATAATTAATTTTTTTTTTTAAGAAACCTGAGCCTATTTCACCTTGGAATGATGTAATTTATAACGCAACTAATAAAAACATAGTTTGCGCACAAATTAATCATGTTATAAAACCATTTGGTGGTGAATATCGCGGGGTTGAAGATTGCTTGTACCTAAATATCTTTACACCAAAATTAAAACCTTCCCCTAACGATAGTTTAGATGTTATTGTTTTTATACATGGTGGTGCATTTATGTACGGTTCGAATAAAAAAGGGGCGCGATTTTTAATGGATCGTGACATAATTTTTGTAACGGTTAATTACCGTTTGGGAACTTTAGGATTTTTAAGCACCCAAGATGAAGTTTTACCAGGAAATTTAGGATTGCGAGATCAAGCGATGGCTTTAAATTGGATTAAAGAAAACATATTAGATTTTGGTGGAAACCCCAATTCAGTAACATTAACGGGTTTATCAGCGGGAGGTTCCAGTGTTCATTTTCACTATTTTTCACCTTTAACAAGAGGTCTTTTCCATCGGGGGATATCAATAAGTGGAACGGTTTTAGGGCCGTCAAAAATACAAGAGAACCCTTTGGAAAAAACTGGAATGGTGGCTAAATCTTTAAATTGTTTTAATGAAAATACAAGGATTATGATTGATTGTATGAAAACTAAATCGGTGGAGGAGGTTGTTAGTGCTATCAAGGTGTTAAGACCGTGGGGGTTTTATCCTTATTCACCAATTGGGGTTACGATTGAAGAACCTATGAAGGACTCTTATTTACCTGATCATCCAATTTCGTTACTTTCAAAAAAAGCATTTCATGATCTCCCTTGGATTAATACTTATACTTCTGAAGAAGGCCTTTATCCAGGATTGGAATTTATAGGTGAACCAAAACATTTGGAAGAATTAGAAGAGAAATGGAACGAATTAGCACCTTTAGTATTTGATTATAATTACACTGTATCTAAAGACGATATGGAAAAAGTTTCTAAAGATATTAAAAAAGTATATTTTAAGGATAAAGCAGTTTCGAAGGATAGTTTTAGGGATTTAGTAGCGGTAAAATTATTAAAAATTATTAGTATTAAACATTAATTGACCGATTTTTAGATTTTAAGTGATCGCATGTTTGTTCATTGTGCTGAAAAGGCTTCGAAGCTTCAAGCATTCTATTCAAAATCGTTTGTATATAATTATTATTTTAGTTATTCTGGAAATGGAGTTGCATCAGCGGGTAGTAAATGGATTGGAAAACATACAGAATATGGTAAATAATAGATGTTACTAGATTTAATTGAATGTATTAGATGAGGCTCCTAGAACCTCAAAATCGCCAAATTCCAAACTCTTCTACACTTATGTCCCTATCTGATTATGTTTTCTATCTCACATTAATATCATTTAACTATGTTTCTTTTTCTGTGTCTTAGTGTGTACCCTGAACTGTTCTGAATCCCACGCATCTTCATCTGGTGTAGTCATTGAGGTGTAGTTGTAGAACAGTAAATTGAATAAAACTGCTAATACTCTAATTAATTACTTTCATAGTCAAAACTAGTTTTAAACTAGTTAAAACTACTTTTGTGGTATTTCATTAGTTACTTCATCTCATTTTTTTTATTTAGGCCTCCCTCTCATATTATTCTTTCCACCTCTTGCCTCCCATATTCGTCTAGTTTGTCTTGTATCTGCCATTCTCTGTATATGTCCCCACAACAAGTGCAAAGATATACCCACTGAATATTTACAATCATATTTTGCTTAATGACGACTATTTCATTGCATGAAAAATCATTGTGATACTTATAAAGTTACAATACAAATATATAACTAGAAACAAGCAAATTGGAGCTAGATTTGAAGTGTATTCTGGGCTGAAAACGCTAGATGTGATACATAATTTGAGGGTAACATACATTCTTGTAGTATTATGAACAAGTCCTGTTAAATTATTTTATTAAAATGTGTACACAGCCAAATCACTTAGTTCAAGTAATGTTGTTTAAGCAGTTGTGGCCACAAACCCAACAGGTGTGTGATTAAAAGTACTACTAAGACTCCTAAAAAGAACTACTTATAAAAACTACTCACCCAAAGAACTTTAATTTGTAGTTTGGAGTAGCAATTCATTTGTACACTAACATTTATGATCATTTTGGATTCTATTGGTGCCATCAAATAACTGCTGATATGGGCTCTAATAACAAAATAATATTCTTGAACAATATAGCCTCAACAGAATTGAGTAGACTACACATGAAGTCAAAAAATAAAGGCTTACTTTTCTGGGCTGAGGGGTTAATCTGATATTTCCTTATGATTTGATGAATTTGGAACTGTCTGCAAATAAGAAAAATAAATAATTTCTATAAACTTAAATGACATAACCTAATATACTTAAAGTAAATTTTCAACTTTACATGCCATATAATCTTTAAATTAATTTCTTAGTAGAACTCTTCATAAAGATTATACATAGTACAAAACAAATCCCTTATTTTATCTAAAATACTTAATTTATCTAACCTGATTTTTCTTTATCAATATCAACATTATTACAACTTCTGCTAAATTAATTTTCAATGTCTTCTTATAGGAGTAGGTCATGGAGATGATTTAAGCTATATATTTCCAAACAATAAAAATTTATATGAAGAACTGAGCGAATTAGACGAATCAATGAAAGATCTTCTCTTAAACATATGGACTTCTTTTGCTAAAACAGGATATCCTAAAATACCTCATTTACAATGGATTCCAGTAAATAAACGTTACAACAAACCTTTAAACCACCTTCACATAAGATCTGCGAATGATTTAAAAATGGAAAATGCCGAAGACATCGATAGGCATCGAGATTTTTGGGACAATTTACCCATAATGGAAGATTTAAAATTATACCCTGTTATTAAACAAACCATACGTGAAGATTTATAATATGATACGATTTCTTATTTAATAAAATTAGATTTAAATTTAATCTAAAGTTGTTTACATCAAATGTCAAAAGTTTTAAAGTGAGTTGCCACACAAATAAATCAAAACTATCCACGTAATCTTTATTATTTATTTTTTGAGTAATTCAAAATTAAACAAACAATAATCATTACATAATTTAGTTTTTGAAATAATTAATGTTTCAAAAAAAATTTTAATGGAAAAGTACCTAAAGCAATTAATAAATCAAAATTTTAGTGCTTTTCAATATTTAACGTTGGTGCTTCGATAACACACTTTTTTAGTTCTTAAAACCGTCGTATGTCGTATTCTTGTTTACAAGTAAACTTAAAATATCTCAAAAAACTTATTTACTTTTTACCATAAAAAATGAGCACTTCCAACGATAAATACATGTTAAACTGGGATAATCATCTCAATCATATGAGACGATCATTTGATGTTGTAAGAAAAAGCGGCGATTTTGTTGATGTAACGATACGTTGCGATGGAAAGAAGCTAAAAGCCCATAAGATTGTTTTATCGGCATTCAGTTCGTATTTTCACGATATTTTGATTGATAATCCATGTCCTCATCCGGTTATAATCCTCCGAGACGTTGGTTATGAGGAAATGGTGGGAATTTTGGAGTTTATGTATCTTGGAGAGGTTAGTGTTGTAACAGAAAACTTTAGTTCGTTTATGCGAGTTGCTGAACTTTTAAAAGTAAGTGGGTTAGCTGATGATGTTCCAGAGGAGAAGAAAGATAGTTTAAATGAACCTGTATTAACTGAGGAAAGGGTGGAAACACCCAAGACAGGTGTGAAAAGGAATCGTGGATCTTTTGAGATAGAAAAGAAACAAGGAGTGGATGTTGATACAGAAGATAAAGGAGTGAATAAGAAGAGAAGGGATGCTTCTAGCCCATTTCAATCAGGTCAAGGAGATTATGGTAACGAGAATATTGGGGAAAATATAAAAGAAACTGAGACTACCAAAGGAGAAATACCTCATAATAACTCGAATGTACATAAATTATTGAGCAGTGAACATTATTTAATAAAGAAATTAAATCCTGAAAATGAATGTCCTATATGTGCTCAAAAGTTTGCAACTATATATTTATTGAAACAACACATACCTTTTCATTTGGGAGAGACAAAATGTCAGTATTGCAATACCGTTGTAAGTAGAAAAGATCTTTTGAGGAAACACTTAATGGCCGTACACAAAATACATACTCCAAGGAAGGATTAGAATTAAACTTTAATTTTAACATTTTGAGACCACATATTAGTTATTTTTTATGTTGATTATACATTTCTGTAATGTTGAATTTGTAATAAATCTATAAGATTAACAATTAATTAAGGGTATTACATTTAATTCAAATAAGAAATCATACAAAAATGGATTATTTTTGTTACCATTTATCAATAACAGTTTTACACAAACCTTGGGGACAAAAAGAACTATATAACAATTAATATTCACATCATTTTAAGTATGTTTCGGCTTAAATCAAGGTCCGTTGAGTAAACATACTGTATAAGGTTATCCAACTCCCTATAAACGCTGTTGTTATGAACGTATCCCCCCGCAAAGGCCTTGCTGTGACGTCATTGGGAGAATTGACATTTCTATGTTTTTATTTATACAGTGTATTTCACTTAAAAAGCAATACACAAAAATATAAAGATGTTAAAAAAATGCGAGATAATCGTAAAAAATTAGAATTGTTTTAAACTTAATAAAAATTAGGTTAGAATTGATAAAAAAATCGAAATAAAATTTTATTATTTTAAGGTTATCCAACTTGACTCGGTTACCATGGTGATTAAGATCCAAATATTGCAGTTGCTTGTCAAAATTGACGTTGAATTTAAGTTTTTTTAATAACAAAAAATAAAAAATTAATTAATAATT